TATCCCTTCCTGTTCTATGTGCCAAGCTAGTAATACCTCAGCATTTATCTTTCGGTGTTCTTAAACATGTTTCTGACCAGTGACTAAGACTCCTTGGTGTTGCAGAAATTCCATTACTTCTAACAACAAAGCAGTTGGAAAGGATTCAATATTCTCCAAATATCCTGCATAAAGAGACACAACAGTGATGCAAATCTAGAATTCAGGATACCTTGCTATTTCAAGTTGCACGTGGAGTATGACACAGTTAATTTTTGAGGTTAACACAGCTCTCAAATCACCAAGTTGCTGAGGCTTCAGCAATGTCACAGAATCATAGAATAGTTTGGGTTGGAAAGGACCTCAAGATCATCCAGTTCCAACCCCCCTGCCATGGGCAGGGACACCTCACACTAAACCATCTCACCCAAGGCTCTGTCCAACCTGGGCTTGAACACGGCCAGGGATGGAGCATTCGCAGCCTCCTTGGGCAACCCATTCCAGTGTCTCATCACCCTCACAGTAAAGAACTTCATGTCAAAGGTCTTTTGTTAAAAAGATACTCAAGCTTTCAGCACTCCTGTTCCAGTGAAGGCTCACAGAACAAAAGGATATGGCAAAGCAGTGAGCCAGCAGAACAAAGACCAGGTAATCAGTGGTGTTCTGCCCTTGGCCCCACTGCTGTTTAAATTGCAGCAAGCAGGATGTGGGCTGCATTACATTCACTGTCCTCATCCTGTATTTGAATAGGCAAACAACACAATAAATTCATTAAGATAGGTTTGTTCAGATAAATAAAAAGCATTGGTGTCATTTTTGCAGTTCCCTTTCCGTGTTGTACTGCTCCAGCTGCTCACAGAGGGCTAAATACACCACTGTGGGTGACTATTCCCAGTTAGAACTGCCTGCATCACACTATATATATATATATATATATACACACGGACACACAATATAGCCCAGCAAACTACAAATTACCAACCCAAGCATCCTGGAACTGTATTATCAAACTGGAATGTACAAAGAAAATTAGCTCACACAGGGTCAGAATTACAAGATTGTTGCAACTGAGAGTAAATTTTCATCATAAATCATAAAAGCAAGTTTGGTGAGCTCTTCTTTTTCAATTCAAATACATTACAATCTTTACCACTTTGGAAGATAGATGTGATTCTTATCACACCCTTTTAGGTTTTTTAAGCATCTCAAGATCTTTAGACCCACTTACAATACCCACTTGCTCTATTAAGACTAATGAGAAATAACAAGAGCTGCACTAGTCCACTGTCTTGCAATGTTGCTGAGCACATTCAGGTACCCAAGAAACAAACAAACAAAGCAGTAAGCATAAGGCAAGCTCAGGTCTGCCACATTCATGGTAAAAAGCCAGACAAAATCTGTGAGATTTGGCTGTATAAGGACTGCAAGACCAGGGTAGAGTCTGCATTATTTCTGAAATAAGATTCAGTGAAGATTTAGGGAGTATTTATTCAGTTTTCCCTTTCAGCTGGATTCTGCATTACCTAGCAGTAATAAAGACTGACTGGTAGGTAACAAAACAGTTATCTAGCTTTAGATTAGATTTTAGGCAGAAGTTCTTCCCTGTAAGGGTGCTGAGGTGCTGGCACAGGGTGCCCAGAGAAGCTGTGGCTGCCCCATCCCTGGCAGTGTTCGAGGCCAGGTTGGACACAGGAGCTTGGAGCAAGCTGCTCTAGTGGAAGGTGTCCCTGCCTGTGGCAGGGGTTGGAACTGGATGAGCTTTAAGGTCCTTCCAACCCAAACCAGTCTGGGGTTCTATGATCTTACTCCAGCATTTTGGAAAGCCTGGTCTGTACTTTCTTACACCGAGTTCACTTCTGTCAGATTTCAGTGTGGTGATGAACATGGAAGGAATGAAATACGCATTCTGACTTAAAAGGCATCTTCCTGCAGTATTTAATCTGAGCTGACACGCTTCTTGGTTTGGTTTTTGGTTTTGTTTGGTTTGGGGTCTTTTTTGCACGAAATCTATGCAAAGCTTTTCAAAATAAATTACTCTGTAATATCTTTTATTGTGACTTAAAAAAAACTCATGCTTTTGTTTCAATTCCATTGGTGAACACTACTTGAGGCTCTCATAAAAAATACATCAGAATGACACAAAGTACTTGAACAGGATTGTTGCTTTGCCTTTAATCATTGCTTTACATGAAATTTCAGATTTCATTTCCTCAAGAGCTTCCAACAAACTCACTTTATATCTCAGCAGTCATCTGCAAAGCATATTTCATAGTACCTCGACCAATAACACCACCACTTTCTCTGCAGTTGAGTAAAAATTAAAGCATAGCACTTCAATACACCTTTAGAACTCTCCTGAACCTGCCTACTGAATCAATACTCGGGAACAGAAAGAAAGTCCTTTTCCTGGCACTTTGTATTTCTAAAGCCATTTTGAAGTTATTCTTAGGCACAACAGCTTCAGGAAGCAGACGGTTATTATCCTCTCCATTACAGAGTGCAAACCCAACTAAGAAAGCTACATGAAGATAAAAAAAGGGGAAAAAGGCAAGGCTGATTTTGAACTCAGAATCAGAATAGTGAAATCGTTCTGGCATTTCTTCCCTTTCTGACAGGAAACGTGGACTGGTCAAAATTAAAACCTTTTATACAGGTGAGGGTGAAGATTTCAGCAGCTCAGGGTGATACTTTCAGTTAGAGCCAAAGAGAAACATAAAATTACCTGTGAGCTCAGTACTGCGCCCTGTTTGATTTGCATTTGAGATTCAAGCCATTAAAGCAAATACATCTGAATGACCACCTGAGCATTCAGGCTCTCTTCTGCCAACTCTTTTTCCACAAGAGATGACCAAAAGTTCTACTGTCAAAGTGAAGGTAAAAGCTGAAAACCTACAAAATGGGAGGTCACTTTTCACCTCCCTACTCAGAAAATCTGCATTTAGTTTCCCATTCCAACCAATACACTAGACCATCATGTCTTCCAGCTATGGACTAATAATTTCCATCTATTTCCAAAGCACATCTGAAACCTAAGAAACCACAAACTCAGGCCTGTGAAAACAGTCTAGGAGCTTCATCAGGGTTTTAAAAGAGCATTTAAAGTAAAATATGAACGACAATAAAATAGCAATACTTTTTCAAAAAGCGAAAAGGCAAAATTCCTGGTATTTATGTTTTCAATTTTTTGCAGGGCAGTAACTGAAACATCTGAAGCACTTCCTATCCCAGTGCAGTTAAGCTGGAAACTGGTTCCAGTAGATGGAGCTGCAGAAAGGTGATGGGGACAGCATCTCCAGCAGCTGCAGCAGCACAGCCTGAGCCTGGGACAACCTGTCCAATCCAGGAGAATTCACCAAGCCTCTTCCTGCTCCTGAACATTTCTGCACATTCAGAACTTGTGAAGCACAACACAATCGCGATCTCTCAGCCTCTGCAGCTGCAATTGTCAGTGCAAACACAAGGCCTGGAAGTCATTTAATGCTGCGATTTAAAATCATTATTGCAAACATATGGGCCACCTTCCCACCCTGGAGAGTAAAACCGAAGAAAAGCTTTAAAAAATAAGGATTACTCGCCCTTAAGGGATTATCAAGACAGAACATGGCAACAAAACTGTATAGAACTATTACAAATACTAACACAAGTCATTCTGGATCATTAGCAGGTTTAACACTCGGTATAAAATCCTACAGGATTGCTGTTTTAAATTCCACTAGCCCACCTACCTCCACTCTGTAATAACTCTAATGCTAATATATATGCCACTAAAAAATGAGCTCTACTGCGTAGCTTTTAGAATCTGAAGCTGTTCAGGAAACCTTTTCCACCATGGTGTCTGGGGATGAATTAAAAGTCTTGGGCTGATGTTTGCTGGTTTCAACTTCAAGATATAAGGAAAGCAGGCCAAAACAGAGCAAAACACCTCTCCCAGCGCTTCATGTGAAGTCACAAACAGCATCTTTACCATCTCCTTCCAAGTACAGAAGCAGTTTGCTGACCTTCCAAACCATGCTCTCAAAAGTTTCTAACCCCGCAGAGATTACAAAGCAGATTATTTGAAGTCTTATGTCAAATGGGAAGAAACCCACAAGCAGGCCTTTAACGCAGCCACATCTAAAACGCAACACGGCATCACCACCAGGGTGGCATGCTATTTGCACACTGATTCAGCTGGAACAAACAGCTCCCTCACATGCACGCAAGGGAAGTCTGTGTGTTTTAGGGGCTGTGGGAGCGCACACGTGGAAAGGAGAGAGGAAAGCTATCCACCTACAGCCAGGGTGAGCAAGGAGGTGTTGAGTTACAGAGCAACCACCATCGGGGTTCCACTGCCAAGGTGTGCTACAAGCTGCGCTAACAGCAGCCCAAGGACAAGGTCTTCAGTGCTCTTCCACAGACTTCAGAGGGCTGAAGTTAATTTGGATGTAGCTCTGTGGAGTACTGCTGTACAGGCATGTAATTAGCTTAAGCAAATGCTTTTGTCCAAGAGAAAATGAGTAAGTAGACAGATAAAGCCCTCAAAGGGCACAGAGCAGTTTGTGCCCCTCCAGTGGCCGCGCTCAGGTCGCTCGGTCCGCGGGCGGACAGCCGCGTTCACCCGCACCCGTGAGCGGTCTGCGGGCAGAACCGGGCCAAGCGCGGCTCGATCCCGGCCGCACCTGGGTGTCCCCGGCCCCTCCGCACAGACGGGGCTGGAGCTACGGGGACACTGCCTGCCCGCAGCCGGAAGGAGTCCTTCAGACAGGCACCAAACTCGATCTACAGGCTCCAGACCCAGACGGGCGGCTTAACCCGTGCGACGAGCCGCCCTCACCCCCGCTCCACAAAGGCGTCTCCGGAGACCGGACCCCCGGTTCCGGCCGGCACCGGACCGGCGCTCCGCAAGGCCGGGGTGGGGGGAGGCAGCGCAGCCCCCAGGGACCCCCGAGCCGGCCCCGCTGCAGGCGCTGCCTGTGGCGGCAGAGCTCCCACTGCCCCCCGCGGCCTGAGGTAACTGCCCCCCGCCCGCCGCAGCCCCGTACCGGCCGTCGCCTCCGCTGGCCGCGCGGGGGTCCATGGAGGCGTCGCGAAGGGCGTCCCCGGGAGCCGGAGGGAGGGAAGGAGGCCGGAGCGGGCGGGCGGTGCTGCTGCTCCCCGGCGCGGGCGGCAGCCGCAGCCACCTCGCATGGTGTGGAGCAGCGGCGGCGGCAGCAGCGAGCCTCGGCGCATGTTCGGGCAGGGCCGGGCCGGGCCGGGCTGAGGGGCCGCCCCCACAGGTGAGCGGCAGCGGCTGCCCGGGCTCCTGCGGCTGCCCCGAGCGCGGTGACAACGGGGCGAGGGCTCAGTGCCTGCGCTGCGTGTGGGGAAGGGTCCAGCCCGCTCTGGAACTGAGGTGGAGGGAGGCCTGCGGTGAGCCCGCCACGGGGAAAAGCGCATTAAGTACTGGAATAATTAATTCCTCTTGAGAAAACACGGGTGGAAATGTAACTTCTGTTACCCAAGTTCTAAATGCCTGAACTCTCTACGTGCCTGCTTCCAATACAGTGCCTGTGTGGAGCCTCTGCCCCAAAACACCACGGTGAGGTAATGGTACAAAAGGAGTAACGACCAACAGTGCTTACATTTCACATTTATGAACTGAGGTACTAATTGTTTTAAATACACAATTAAACCAACTGAAACTACAATAGAGATGCGATACTGAAAAAAAAAAAGTTTTCTAATACATGTAATAAAGATTGCTTTCGAATATATGTAATAGCCAAATCAATCATGTCAGCCATGCAGCTTCAGATTATAACAGAAGAGACTGACAAAAGGAAGGAGTTTGTAGAAGGAAATGAACAGGGGAAAGAAGGCAGAGGTATACAGGGCCTAGGGAGTGGCAGGACAAACAGAAGGCCTTGGTTGACATAAGAGAACAATGGGCACATTAATGAGAACAGTGCGTGTATGAGGTTAAAGAAAGAGTTTATTAGCTGAACGCGGACAATGTGGTTCTTGGTGTGTGGAGTGAGAGGCAGGCGGCAGGGCTGCCTCACGCTCCAGTGCTCAGGTGCTGCTGTGAGAGACAGAACCGGAGGCAACCGAGGACAATTGGGATTCTTTAGTTTGACAATAGGCAAAACTCATGACTGTCCTGGGCTAAATCAAACGTTTTAGATCAGTGAGGGATGTCAATGACAAGCACCTTCACAGAGCTGTTATTCTGGTACAGACGTAGACCCGCATTTTTCAGCATGAAGTACCTGTTTTCGTCCATTTCTGCCCTTGAATTGTGAAGCTCGTACATCTCAGCTCGCAGCTTTCAAAAGGAAAAGACTTCCTGTGTAGTTCTGCACTTCAGACACAGCCCATTCTCAACAGCCAGGCACATTTCACCTAAAGAACGTTTGTATTAATAAATATATACCCTACAGAATATACTACTTGAGATCGATTGTTACAACTTTTAGGATTTCTGTGTTGTAGGGACTAAGAAGAAAAAGCTAAACCAGAAGGGCAAATGTGCATCATTAGCTTAATTACAGTTCAAATTATTCTCCTGAGCATGTCACTGTATGACATGCCATGAATATGTATGACGTACATACCACATGTATGAAATGTTATGAACAGTTGTGCTTTTAGTACCTGACAGTAAAATAAATAATTTGAGATAAATTGATAGCACGTTAAAGAAAATCAGAGAATTTATGACTGCAACATTCAACTGGCACTTTTATGTACAGTTTTCAGGATTCTGGGTCACTGGGTTGAACCTCATCTCATTTATGCAGTAAAAGTTATTACTGGATGTAGGCCCAAACTCCTCAGAACAGTTCGGAACTCAAAAGACCCTGATCTATATTACTGAAGAGCATTTAAGAATAAGGAGGAATTAAGAGAGGTTGAGACAAGCATTTTAAAAAAGAAATTCTACAAGAAGCATTTTACCTAAAAATCCATTGAGCCTTTCAAAATTAGGTTTTTTTTCTGTGTAAGTGACCACAGCTGTTCATGTAACATCTCAAGAGAAACTGCAGTCTGTGGAGAACAATCCTAAAGGCTTTACCGCTTTGAATACAACAAGTTCAATGTTACATAGCCTCCACAGAGTAAGTAATGAATCGGTGCACACAGAAATATCAGTGAGTGGCTCAGGATGAGTCTGTTTATTGAATTGGAAGCTATCAGATACAAAACCAAGACAGCTGACAGGTTCTGTTGCAGGCCAGTGCCAGCTGGGACAGACCTCTCAAGTCAAAGGTAAGAACTTCATCCTGTATTCATCAGCAAACTAAATTCTCAAGCAAATACCTAATTCAAAGTGGCACTTCTCCTAAATTCCTGATTTATTTCCACTTATTGTGGAGTGCAACTGGCTGCCTATATAAGAAAACACCTTAAAACATCTCTTCTACCTATAGGATACACACAAGTAAAATGGGATAAAATTCCTTTTACTCTGCACAAGATTGTCTTTCCAAATTGCAGCTTAAGTAACATGCTATCAGACCCACTGTCACTTAGAAAACAGGAAACAGATTAGCATTAAGAAGTGGTTTGTCCAAAGTAATTTAATCAATCAGCAAGAGATAACTAGAAACAACATCCTGACCTCTTGAATACACATCCAGACAATGCAGCATTCTTCCCCTCTATCAGCTAGCTACCTGTTCACCCACTTCAAAACCTAATGCTTTTTGTTTTCAGTTTAAAATCTAAGGTCCTAGGAGCTCTGGATCTCTCAATTTTAGCACAACAGGAATTCTTAAGTATTCTGAGCATGGAATGGCAATGCAGCTGGTATTATTTATGCATTTTTTTACTATTATTTTTCTTTAAATCTTAGATGAAAATCACTTTCAGGATATTACTCACCTAGACTTGATGGCTTGTCACCTGACAAATAAAAAGTGCCTTCCCGTCTTTTCTAGAGTAAGAGACAAAGGCCAAACCAAAGCTCCGCTCTACCTACCAAAACAGTAAGCTTCAAAGTTGCTTGAAGATCTTCAAGCAAGATTTTTTTTGAAGGCAAAAAAGATCTTCAGTTTGGGAAAGTTATTGTCTACTTCCAGTATGAACTGTTGACTGTTTGCTTTTAATTCGACATTATCTTGTGTTTTGTAATTGCACACGGCAAACAAATCCTCTTTCTTCTTATGATAAAAAAGAATGGATGCATCTGAAAGCCAACCACCATGTTCACTCCAAGAATGGAATTAAATTTAAGAGTATTCACTGATACAGAGTTCCATAAAGAGAAGACATATGACTTTAGCTGCCAATGTTCTGCAACAGATAAGATACTTTTCCAAACTCAGTTGAATTTAAGTAGCTAAATGAAGTTGTTGAGCAGTGGGGAAACAGTACTACGCAACGTGATTCTGACAGCTCAATGCTACTTCTGGTAAGAGGTGATACACAGCACGGTGCGTCAGACGGCAGAGGATGGCAAGGAAGTCGTTGTAAACCAAAGAAACCAGTCAAGTCTAATACTGAGGTCTACCACAACCGCTTTTAGGTACTAAAAGCCGAGGGGTTAGTATGGCTTTAAGTCTGCTGTACTGAAGCAAACAGCTTTCAACCCAGTATGTCAGTTTCTTCATTAAGCACTTTTATTGTCACTTTATTCCCTGTCAGTACTTCACAATGATGTAACAGCCTTAACATTAATCCCCAGTATAATTTCCAATCAGCTGCCAATACAGTTTCTAGTTAAGTTACTTCAGATAACTTGCACTAGAAATGTAACTGTCGAGTGGCCAATTCATCTGCCAGACATTAGCCTCTTTAATCTTGAGTGCAGTGGTATTCTGTGAATGCAATAGGAACTTTTACATGACAGCACTTCAATGTACAGGAAAACTAGAGAAAGACAGTGAAGAGGATATCAAATTATTCAAGATAATTAGCAACCACCTAACCATCTTCAGCTTCATGATAAAGAGTTAAATAGGCTGCACACAATTTGAGAGGGGATGGTTTGAGGGGAAAGAGGGTTGAAAGCAGCATAGTCAGAGGGGCAAAGTGCACCCAAGATGGAAACGTGACAGGAGACTTAAAAGGAAATAATAATTAAAATTGGGCAGCTCACAGAAGGTTTCAAATAGCTTCAAGAGTGTGTGTGAACCTGATAAAATTAATAAAGATGCTATACTACCTAATCCAGTTGATGTCTCATTAAAAGAAAATAGGCAAAAAGATCTGGGTTCACTTAGGTGAGTGTATTAGAACTACTGTAACAAAAGGATCATGGCAGGGGATTTGGACTAGATGATCTTAGGGTCCTTTCCAACCCTAACTATTCTATGATTCTATGATCAAAAGACACATGAAAAATGTTGCTGGAACTCCTAAACCTCTGACTAAGCACTCTATGACGTAAAGCAGACATCATGCTGACAGACATATTTAAGAAGAATCATATATGCTGGGTTAAACTAAAGTTCTCTTAAGCCCTGTATGTTGACAGCAGAGGTGATTGTATATCTTCACAGATAAATCTTAAGTACCTAAACATGTGGGCTCTGCAACTCTTGTGCAGGCAAAAATCCTTGGACAAGAGTAGCCTGAGTTTTCTTTGAAGCTGCCACAACTCCTAAAGGAGGAAGTGTCAGCTGGGATTAGTGTGCACTTCAGCTAACCTCAACATTCAGGCAACTCTTTCCTCTGCCAATTTACTCACTCCCATCAGACTACAATCAGAACACATATTGTTTGCATGACATTTATATATTGTTTCACAGCTAACAGCACCCTTTTGACAAAACAGGCAAAGAGTTCACGCTTGTGTACTTAAACTTTATTTCTTCATAATTACAGGCTATTGTTAGAATTTTTAACCAAAAGGGAAGTCTATAAATAGAGGCTAATCCCACCTGAACAAGGTTTTCCTTTAAAAAAACAACAGTTAAAACTTCATAAAGTAATGCCATTTAGCTCACAGCAGTGGTTTGTTGGTAGTCTGAGTAAAAGTACTATAGTCAGAGTCAGTAACATGAAATGTAACATCAAATGACTCAAAACTTTAAATTCCATAAAGGAAAGCAGGAATATATATATAATATATACATATAATATTGTGTTGGTCCACTGAGTATACATTTTTAACAAAAGATAAGAAACTATGTAATCCAGTTAAGCATATGATTTGCAAGATTAGTGTACACTCATTACAAAGATGTATAGATAAGTTATAACTATTTAATACTTGCAAAAATTTAAGTTATTTTTCTGAGCAGGTGTTTAAATGCTCATTTCCCAGTGCAAAAAGAAAAAAAAAATCCCAGTCACATT